TTTTTCCCCCTGAACCAGAAAGACCCTCTCTTATTTTCCCCTTGCTGCCTCCAGCCCCATTGAATCCCTGCAGAGCTTTCTCAGGCAAAAGGACAGCTGTGTCAAGACGGGGAGGAACTCGACCTACTCTGCTAACCCAGTGGCCTGAGCCAATCACGAAGAGATCTGGAGTCTTCCTTCCCATCCCCTCCCCCTGCGACAGCCTACTGGAAAGAGGGACGCTGGACCCGGCGTGTTTGCAATTCTAATCATTGGCTTTTTGCCCAATTCTTTTCCAAATAAGAAGGCAGGAGCTGCAGCTGAGGCGCAAGGGGTCTTCTAATTGCAGTGGACTTCAGTGGAAGATCCTCATTTGTCTCTTACTTGTTTTCAAAGCAAAACAGGGGAAAGAGCCAGGATGGTGGAGGCTTTCTGTGCTACCTGGAAACTGACCGACAGTCAGAACTTTGATGAGTACATGAAGGCTCTCGGTAGGTAAAAACAAGGCTTGCTCTTCCGTTCTAAACCGGCAGTTTCAGCTAGTTGCAGGTTCCTTTTTTCCTTTTTTTTTTTTTTCCTTCTCACCCATCAGGTTGGCAAGACACAGAGTACATTGTCCTAATCGGATACTAGGCCATGCATTTCCCACTGAATGGATTTGTAATGTGGCATTCCACAGCTTTCTTGCCCAGGGCCAAATAACAAAGCATTTGATAGTCTGTGGAGGATATGGAGCTTGTGTGACTTTTCTGTTTTTCTTCAGCTTCCACTTATTATTTGTACTCAATGGGCTAATCATTAATCATTGGCGCATGATTGGCCCATTAATCATGCTCTAAGGAAATATACCTGTGGAATCTGGGGTCCAAGATCAGATTTGAGCTATTCGTGAGCTATTCTGGAAGCTGCTGTTGACTGTCCTGGTTCCCTTTGCTCTTTTAGGTGTGGGTTTTGCCACTAGGCAGGTGGGAAACGTGACCAAACCAACAGTGATCATCAGTCAGGAAGGGGACAAAGTGGTGATCCGGACTCAAAGCACGTTCAAGAATACAGAGATTAGTTTCCGTCTGGGTGAAGAGTTTGATGAAATCAGTGTAGATGACAGAAACTGTAAGGTAAGAAGCTGTTACTTCTCTGGATTGGGGACCCGGAGGAGGGAATAAAAAGATGAAGATTCCTAGTGCATTTTCTTCAGATGCTGGGAAGTGGAGCATGTTTTCAGTATTTCAACTCAGGGAGTAAACCACTAGCATTAGCATTCTAGTATGCATGTGTTAGGTTCTGAACAGTGAGCCACTGCTATAGCCCTAGTTTCAAATTTTTTTGTTTCTTATGCATTTGTCACATTTGATAATACTTCAGACTTGTAATTCAGAGAACACTTTTTTGCATCTAGGACACATTTCAAATTACGATTATTGGACTTCAGTGAATATAGAAGTAGCAAAGGCTGTGGTGCCTATAATAGGATAGTTAGTTGATCATGATTCACTCAGTTATACAACTCTGAAAAAGTATGTCATTGAACTTCCATATCAAAAATCTGACTTGTACCTACTGCGATGTTTTGCATCTTCTTGTTGTTCTCAGTCTGTTATCAGCCTGGATGGAGACAAACTTGTTCATGTACAGAAATGGGATGGCAAACAAACAAATTTTGTAAGAGAAATTAAGGATGGCAAAATGATTGTGGTAAGTAACGGTAGCTTCCCACTCCTCCTTGGTTTTCACCCCTTCCCACCACCTTCTCCCCTCATTTCCCTTCCTTCCTGTGCTTTTTTCCCTTCCTCCTTATCTCCCTTCCTTCTCATCCTCTTTCTTTTTTATTTAATAACTTTGCATCAATAGGAAGTTTAAGCATTTACCAAACAGGGAAAATAAAAAGATCCTAATTTTTTCCTTAATGCAGCTTCTTGATTGAAGAAAAAGAAAAATTCTATTTCCTGTAGTTAAACAAAATGCTTTCATTGATTTGCCCAAAATTATGGGTCAGATAGTTTGTAGGATTACTATAGATGTTGAAGTCTAAAATAAAAATTAAAAAGAAAACCAATAATCATGAAAACAAATATATATAATAAAAACAAAGTTTACTGAACTTCAGAAAATTTATAGCTATTATGAATAAAAGATCTTTCAGTGTTTAAAATTTTGGTTTATGAAGGCTATACAAGTTCGGTGTAGATAATTTAGAATATAACAGAAATATAACAAAAGAAATACAATTTCATCTCTTTAGAGAACCAGTTTTTCAAATTTTCTTCATATATTTATTTTTATTTGAAATGCAGAAAGACAGAGAGAGTAAAATAGATTCACAGAGAGAAAAAGAGAGATCTTACATCCAATGATTCACTCCCCAATTGCCTGCAAAGGCTAAGGCTGGGCCAGGCCAAAGCTAGGAACTAGAAACTCAGTTCTGGTCTCCCATGTAAGTGGCATGGGCCTAAGTACCTCAGCCATCACCTGCTGCCTCCTGTGGTATACGTTAGCAGGAAGCTGGTATCCAAAGGGGAGCTGGCACTGGAACTCACCCACTCTGAGTTGAGTTGTGGGTGTCCCAAATGGCATCTTATCCCCTTCACGAAACACCTGCCCCGATAGAATAACTTTGATGTATCTTCCTTCCAGTTTCCTTCCCCTCCCCACCTCCATATTCCTCCCTTACCCTCCCCATCCCTTCCCTTGTCTTCCTTTTTGCAATGCATAAGATGTCAATGCATACATGTTCCATACTTGGAAGGCATGGAGAATTTATAATTTAGAAAATAACTGACAAATAATTTCTATAATGACAGTACACAGTAGCATCACAAACTGGAAAAGATGTTATGCCTTGATCTAGCCATTCTCAGACACATTCTGTAAACAGACTTGTGATGCTCTGATGATACTGACGTAGTCAAGTAGGCTTGTTCCCTCTTTGAGGGTGAGAGGATAGTTTACATACTGCTTTAAAGATAATAGTTGAGGCCGGCGCCGAGGCTCACTAGGCTAATCCTCTGCCTTGCGGCGCCGGCACACCGGGTTCTACTCCTGGTCTGGGCGCAGGATTCTGTCCCGGTTGCCCCTCTTCCAGGCCAGCTCTCTGCTGTGGCCAGGGAATGCAATGGAGGATGGCCCAAGTGCTTGGGCCCTGCACCCCATGGGAGACCAGGAAAAGCACCTGGCTCCTGGCTCCTGCCATCGGATCAGCGCGGTGCGCCGGCCACAGCCCACCGGCTGCGGCTGCCATTGGAGGGTGAACCAATGGCAAAGGAAGACCTTTCTCTCTGTCTCTCTCACTGTCCACTCTGCCTGTCAAAAAAAAAAAAAAAAAAAGATAATAGTTGAATAATAGTTGAAATGACTTTCAATGCTGCTTTTAATAAAAGCTTAATATTGTTTCCTTCTCTTCCCATATATTACTGTAATCAGAGTTGTTACAGATCAAACAATTCATACTCCTTTTTGCTTGTGGAAGTTAAGTGTGAGGAGCAGATAGTTTACCTGTTAAAGTATGTTTGTCCACATTTTTCTTCAATGATCAACAAAAAAAAGGGTTCATTTGTTGTTGTTTTAACATATTCACTTTTTTAAAAAATATTTATTTTAAAGTCAGAGTTACACAGAGAAGAGAGACAGAGAGTCTTCCATCCTCTGGTTCACCCCCCAATTGGCCACAATGGCCAGAGCTGTGCCGATCCAAAGCTGGGCTCCAGGAGCTTCTTCTGGGTCTCCCATGCAGGTGCAGGGGCCCAAGGACTTTGGCCATCTTTTTTTTTTTTTTTTTTAAGATTTATTTAGTTTTTTGAAAGTCAGAGTTACACAGAGAGAGAAGGAGAGAGACAAAGAGACAGAGAGATAGGTATCCCATCCATTGGTTCACTTCCTTATTGGTCACAACAGCCAGAGCTGGGCCATTCTGAAGCCAGGAGTCAGGAGCCAGGAGCTTCTTCCGGGTCTCCCACATGGGTGCAGGGGCCTAAGAATACGGGCCATCTTCTACTGCTTTCCCAGGCCATAGCAGAGAGCTGGATCAGAAGTGGAGCAGCTGGGTCTTGAATCAGCACCCATATAGGATGCTGGCACTGCAGGCAGCGGCTTTACCCTCTATGCCACAGCGCCGGCCTGAAAGTATTCATTTCTAAGATTCAATCTGAAGTGCCCCTCCATTGCTTTTACTATTGTTTTCCTCTCCTGAATACAAAAAGTGGATAGCTCAAATTTGCCATTTATGACTGTGATCAGGCAAGATTGAGTTCATAAGTGGAGATTAAATCAATGGATGACAGTGGCATATGCTGCCTGATACCTGAATGTAATAAGCACAGAAAACCTCTCACTGTGTAAAATGGTTTTATAGAAATTCTTCAAGTTGGATTTCACATTGGGATAGTAGAACCAGTGTTACGTATCATATCTACTTAACTGCCTAGGTTCATGAAGGCTAAAATATGACAGTCCAAGTAATGAGAACATTTGTATAGTCACATTTTCCTTCATATTTTGGAACAGGTTATTCCAAATTCCAGTAACTTAAATTATTATTCTAAAAACTGTTCAAAATTTATATAGACTATGAATTGAAAACTGTTGTGAAAACCCATTATAAATCTCACTTACAAAGCAGATAGCTAAGAATACAGTATAGATACTCAATTCCAGGTACATGAACTATGTAATCTTCTTATTCAGTCATTAAATATAAGGGTTTCTTTTTGTTCAACAAGCAAAGTTTATTCAGTGATTAATGTTTATAAATTTCATTGTTTTGTATAATACTTAAGACATATATAGATAGTCTTTGAAAATTCAGTACTGATACTCATGTAAAAAGATTTAATTATCTTTTGAATGTTTCAGACTCTTACTTTTGGTGATGTGGTTGCTGTTCGCCACTATGAGAAGGCATAGAAAAGTTCCTGGTGTGGACGAAGTTTTTCTGTATTTCGGTTTACTGAAGTCTCAGTGCTGTCCTGTTACAGCAAGGCTGACCAATACTTGGAAGGTTAACCTTGGTGTGGAGGTAGAAAATGGTGATTTAAAAACTTGTTACTCCAAACAGCCAGTCCAGTTTTGATATGAAAATATATCATGGTTTATAATTTGCATTGAACTTTAAAGTCACTTTTTTATAAAGAATTGAATACATTGTCTGTTTTTTTTGTAATGCAAATAAATTCAGAATAAAAATCTTACATGTTAATATAATGCTGTTGCTTTTCATATCATTAATATCTTAGGAATTGTATATTGGAGAGTTTTAAATAAAATAGTCATTCTTATCACATGGAGAAAGGCTGGAGAAGTTAGCACCTTGTTTAAAACACCAATTTTAAAAACATAAGCAGAAACCTCAGGAAATGTGAAGATTCCACAGTTTTGGTTGAGACTCTCATGAACAATTTGTTATGATTAAATTAATTTGGCGAGCGTGTTCAGTTTTGGAAATGACTTTTTGCAATTAGAAACAGGGACCCTAAAGGAAAAAAAAATGGATAATCTTCAAAAAGTCTTGTGAAGACATATTCAAAATGGCATATATATATATATAAAAAAATTTCTTATTGAAAGAGAAATAAGGGAAGGAAGTTCATTTTATTCTAGACTGTTAAAATGAGTTTCCACACAACTAACGTGAGCTAGTGTAAGTCAATAAAAGTGCTAAGAAGAAGTGCATGAAGAGTGTGCATAAAAGCATTCAAGGTACTTTTTTTTTTTTTTTTTTTTCTGGGAATGGGGAGTGGGTGAGAGGGTTGAGTGACTGGAACTGAGCTAACCAACCAAACTAAATATTTGTAACTGTCTAGGGTTTGTATGTGTAAAGTAGAAACAAAGACATAATATTTTGCACTGCATAGTTTACAGAATGCTTTTTATAGATTTTGTCAACTGCACAGCACAAAACAAGTTAGGTATTACTATTAATTTTCTGATGAGGAAATTAAAGTTTAGGTTTGTCTGTCCAAGTCCTCGTGACTAGCAAATAATATTATGAGCTGAAAACCTTGCATTTTTTCCTTTATTTTTCCTTTACTCAATACTTCAGTTAATTTTTCTTCTGAAACAAAAATGCCATACTTTATTTTTCCTGATTATTCCTAAAGAAATATTTCCTCTATTAGCTCCTGGGAGCAAACATGGTAAATATTATTCAGGAAAAATATACAATATTCATTTTGAATCAATAGTGAATTCAGTGAGTGTCATAAGTTAATTCAAGGTCCAATTAACTCATAAATGTAAAATACGAGAAAACTTTTTTTACCTTAGATAATTCACTGTAGCAATATTATCACCTGACAATTGTGGCATAAGTTGAATGTCCCTTATCTGAAATGCTTGAGATTAAAAGTGTTTTATATTTCAGAATATCTATGTATATATAATGAGTTGCCTAGGTATGAGACTCAAGTCTAAATATAAAGTTCATTTATGTTTCATACATGTGTATACCTTATATTCATAGCCTGAAGACACAAATTTATAAAATAGCTTCAGTGTGCCTGTGTTTTGACTAAGATCTAGCACATCAGGTCAGCAGTGGAATTTCCCCTTTGTGTACTCAAAAAATTGGGGATTGGGACAATAGTTTTTGGGGGGTTAGTAATACTCAATCTGTATTTTATCATAGTGTAGGATAGAGAAATATAAAGTACAGTTATAAGATTTCACATTTGAATATTCAATTATTACCACCAAGAATATTGGTTATCTAGTTAAGTCACCGCTGGGATATAGAGTCTACTGCTTCTTTAAAAATATGAAAGAGAATATAGACTGGTTTTGCTCCAATTGTCACAACAGCCATCACCCCCGATTTTGGGAGACGTTACTCAGTTCTTGGTGATTCTAGTGGAAGCTCAGATTCTGACCTGTTAGAAAAGAGACAAAGCCAAAGAAGGGGTTCTATCCTCAACTCATTACAGTAAGACCAAATCACCTCCAATTTGCATTAATGTTCCTAACTATCTCACAGAGTGAAGAACACAAGCTTTTTGGGTGGCCTACATGGGAAACATCCTTTCAATGGAAAAGATACAGGGATGGATGCATCTTGGAAGATAATTAATAGATTTTTTTGCTTTCTAAATTTTTATAAATCATTTTTTAAGCCAAATTTCTTTCTCACACAGTCATCCATCCATGTGCTAACTTTTTTGAGCCTGTATCTCTTCCCCAGCTTTTAACTTGAAGGAAAAAAAAAATTGCCAAGATTAAAGGCAATTTAATTATCAGAGCTTGGCCGTGGAAGAAGGATTTAGAAAGTCCAAGTCTCAAAGGCACAAACCAGCAGGAAAAAACAGTTTGGTGAAGTGCAATGGTGGATCACTGACAACAAGCAAGCAGAAACTTCTGCCCTAAGCTCACGCACAGTTTTCCCTACCTAGTTATACACATACACTTGGCACACGAACACCTAAAATAGGAGGTATTTGTGCAGGATTAAGCTATATCTCCAGAGGGCTTGGGGCATTATTGCTCTGCACATCTTAGTGATTAGAGAGGAAAACAAAATAAAGTGGTTGTGAAGATATGGGAGGTGATGCTTCTACTAATTTTAATACATTCTTTTTACGACTGGAAACATTTCATGGGTTTCTAAGTTTGTACATCTCATTTTAGGTTAACTTACTAAACAATTTTTTACATCCTATTTACTTCTAGTAAAATGCTTTGGAAATTGGGGTGGGAGGGTGAATGAAAAGAGCTATTTTTACAATTTATCTTACTGTCTTTCAAATGTTTTGATTAGAAACCTATGTAATCGTACTATCCTTAAGGTTGTTCTCTGGCCATGTTTTTCTTGATTCATTTCCCCACATACTCTAGACTGTGGACTAAGAATCTCCCAAGGACCCTTTGTCCATCATCAGAAAGTACCTTGGTTCTTGCAATGCCTTTGAATGCTGTTGTCCCGGCAGCTCTTTAAACAGAAAAAGGAGGCCTCTTGATTCCCACTTCAAAGGTCCTTTCTTGAGAAACATTCCCATTAAACCACAGGACACAGAATAAAATTCTCTCCTATGGGAAGCAAATACACCTGCCCAGCACAACATCTTTTACGAGGTTAGTAATTGTGGAAGACATTTTCCTCTACAAAGGAACTGACTGCCTTGTAAATTTCACCTGTTAGCGTTACCTTAAAGAGGTCAGTGTTGTCATAGATGAGGTAAGGCAGAGAAGGAACAGGACCCAAAGCAGTTGGCAGGTTGGCTTTTTTTGCCAGACTATCTTGAAAAATTCCCTGTTAGGGTGAAATCAATCGTCTCTATTTATAATATCCATGCATCTCTGGAATGCACAGAGTATGATTCTGAGACATGTTCTCATTCAGTTGTAAAAAAACCAACCCAACCAGACGTGTTCTGAGCAGTGGTTCTCAAATATCACCTGGAAGGCTTGTAAAAACACAAATTACGGGTTCCTCCCCTGTAGTTTGATTCAGCAGCGCTGGGATTTGACCTGGGACTTGGCATTTCTAACTGGAGTTTCCAGGTGGTGCAGGCGTTGCTGGTCCAGAAACTACAATTTCACGATCCACTGCGTTACCCCAAACTGCTGGCCTCATCCAAATAATACTACAGGGCTCTCTGCACCACCTCTGTGCAAAGCCCCATCCCTTGAAGGCTGGCCACAGAGCATTCCTTCGAAGGCCGGTCCCTGACGCGAAGAAACACCGGTGACAATCTCTAAGGAGCAGCCGAAGGTCATGCGAACCTTATAGCTGAGGAACCGGCCCTGGCACGTGATCTCCTGGGCGTCTACACCAGAACCCGTCTTCGGCCTCCTCCCCACCCCTGGGCCTGACGGTCCCGGGGCAGCTGCCAGAGAGGCCATGGCGCTGCTGCGCACGCTCGTCTGCTCCCTGCTGGCCGCCTGGCCTGTCTGCCCGGGCCTCGGGCTGCCCCTGGCGCCCGCCGGCCGCCACAATCCGGCTCCGGCGGTGGGTGAGTGCTCCGCGCCCGGCCCCTCCTCGTGACCGTGGGTGGCGGCACCTCTGCCAACTCCAGGTCCAGCGTGGGGCAGCTCCAGCGGGCTGGGGCGCTGGCGCTGCGGCGCTGCCTGTAGCTGCTGAGCGTGGGACGATCGAGGGACCGGGGAGCAAAGGCACCCGGCCAGAGGTTGGGGCTGGGCTGGGCAAAGGCCTGCGACATTGGGGGGCGCTCCAAGGGAACGGCGGGCCAGATCCCGCCGGCCGGGCTTTTGTTTACATACAGCGACTTTGTTTTGCTCCTGCTGGAAGGAAGGAAAAACTGCAAGTTTAAGGAAAAAGGAAGCCGGGGTGGTAGGGGTCAGACGCACCAGTGGCCGGAATCTGCACGGAGCGGAGCGGAGGGCGACCTGCAGAGTCTCCCCTCCGCTCCGGGAGTGCATTGCCGTGGGACTCGGATTACCTTGTGTCCCGCTCATGGAGGTCGGCCGCAGTGTCCGCCTCTACTCAGCCAGAGCGACCCAGTCTTGGTGCGAAGGACCCCTTAGCTCAGCGAGGAACTCATCTGCCCTTCCTTGCACCTGGGTGACCCCTTGGCTCTCTGCCGGCCTTAGCAGCAGTTTTGTTCGTATTCCCAACACTTCATGCAGTTTCTGTTGCAGGCAGCCGTTCCCAAAGTGGTTCTCAAAGTTTCAAGTTCAGTAGCAGCAGCATCTGAGCTTGTCAGAAATGCAGTTTCAGCCCCATCCCCAAAGCTACTGAATCTGAAACGCTGAGGATGGCTGACAAGTCTGATGTTTAACCGACACTGCCTAAGATTCTGCCCCCCCCCCGCCCGCTTCTTTTTCCTCTCTCCCTCCTCCCTCTCTCCCTCCCTCCCTTCCTTCCTGCCTTTCTTCTTTCCTTCTCTCTATTTTTGGTGGGGTGGTGGTGGTAAGATATATTTATTTATTTGACAAGGAGAGAGAGGGAGAGCGCAGGAGCGCTTCCATCCTTTGGTTCACTCCCCGGATGGCTGCAATGGCCAGAGCTGGACCAGGTGGAAGCCAGGAGCTTCATTCGGGTTTCTCACGTGCGTGCGTGGCAGGGACCCAAGTACTTGGATCACCATCTGCTACTTTCCCAGGCACATTAGCAAGGAGCTGGGTGGGAATGAGAGCAGCTGGACTCCATCCAGCGTCTCCAGACCCGAGATGATTCTGATAGATGCTGAAATTTGGGGATCACTGGTTCCAAGTAGATAAATGTTTGATGAGAGATTCTTCTCTGCCATCTGAGTCTTCAGTTTCAACATAAATGTGCCCCCATCTCCCTTCTCTGAAAATAATTGCCGTGTTAGAGAGAAAGAGGTGGGGGTCTCTTGTTTTGGAAGGATCAATTTCCCTGAAATTCAGTAACGGCTTAGTAATGAAACCTCTCTGTCTGTCTGTCTCACTCTGCTAATCTCTGCTCTTTCCTGGACTTTGGGAATCCAGGAGGGAAAAGGCCATCTATTTGTCAGAGAGCCAGGTCCAAGTGACTCAGCTGTCAGGGAGTTCAAATCAAGAACTATAGATCTCATTTCCCAACTGTACCAAATGTCAATCTTAAGAAATAACTCCAAAATGTTTATGTGTGCTGGTTTCTGCTTTTATTCGAGCTGGAATTATGTTACTTTGATTACATGTCCATGTAGGATTTTGAGATTAAAAGTCCCAAGTTGCATGAGCCCAGCTAATGGCCAGTTCATCTGTTGGTTTTAACCGCTTGATTGCTGAAAGCCAAAGTGAAAACTTTGTTGACAATGCGATTCTCCCTAATTTGGTAGGGAAGCTTCAGGGGTCATTCTCCTACTTAGGAGGAAAGAAGGGAGAGGGTAAGTAGAGTTCAGTGGCTTGTAATGTTGATTCAGCAGTTTCTCACGGTGTGTATTATTTTACATGATTTCTGCTTGATGGGGCTATTCCCTCTGCTCCCTTCCCCACATCCATAACACTTGGACTTCTTTTACTTTGGCTACCACGTGTGGCTTCTGATTACTTGTTGTGTTTGAATTCGCGACTTCAGATTTATGTCCTGCCGATTCTTTCACCTGAGAGTGTTTGATCTTCATTATAAACAAATGATACGTTTTTAAAGAAAAACCATATGTCAAAACATCCGAACTATGGTCAATAGGTTCTTTAGCATACACTGTAATACTTTCTTCATTTAAAAAATAATTTTAAACATTTTATTTGGGGGTCGGCATTGTGGTGTAGCAGGTTAAGCCTGCAGCACTGGCATCCCATATGGGTACCAGTTTGAGCCTGGCTGCTCCACTTTCAATCCAGCTCCCTTCTGATGTGCCTGGGAAATCAGTGGAGGATGGCCCAAGTCAATTGCCTCTGCACCCACGTGGGAGATCCAGAAGAAGCTCCTGGCTCCTGACTTCGGCCTGGGCCAGCCCCGGCCTTTGCAGCTAGTTAGAGGAATGAACCAGTGGAAGGAAGACCTCTCTCTCTGTCTCTCCATCTCTCTCTCGCTTGCTTGCTGTCTCTCTGTGACTTTCAAATAAATAAAAATAAGTCTTCAATTTTTATTTGAAAGGCAGAGAGTTAAAAATGAACATATAGAAAGATGATGAGCTAGAGACAGAGAGAAAGAAGATATAGATAGATGATAAATAATTTCTTGTCTTCTGTCTCATGTGGGTGGCAGAGAGCCAAGTACTTGGGCCATCATCTCCTACATCACAGGATGCAAACTAGCAGAAAGCTAGAATTGGAAGCAAAGCTGAAGTCAGGCACTCAGATATGGGATGCTGTACCAAAGGCCCATTCCCATCTTCTTTGACTTCCAGTTGTTCTTGTATTATTTTGAATATTTGCCCAGATAGGTTGAACACTCAAACACACATACATTTTTAGAAATCTTTTAAAATACTGTTTGCAAAACAAAAAGTAATTATCCATTTTAGTATTTTCTCTTTGTTTTGTTCTAGTACTATTGGTTGAACTCTGTGATTAACACACAATTATACTTAGGTGTTTAAATTTTAACTGAAAAGTGATCCCTGTTAAATATAAGAGTGGGAATAAGAGAGGGAGAAGATGTACAATTTGAGAAATGCTCAATAGGACTTGCCCCAAATGGTGGATTTAGAATCATGCCGGGGATCCCAATACAATCCCGTCAAGGTGGCATGTACCAATGCCATCTCACTAGTCAAAGTGATCAATTTCAGTTCACAATTGATCACACTGATAGGTCTAAGAGTCAAAGGGATCACACAAACAAGACTAGTGTCTGCTAATACTAGCTGATAGAATCAAAAAGGGAGAGAATGATCCATCATGGGAAGCAGGATACACAGCAGACTCATAGAATGGCAGATGTCCCAAATAGCACTCTGGCCTCAGAATCAGCCCTTAAGGCATTAGGATCTGGCTGAAGAGCCCATGAGAGTATTTTAGGCATGGAAAGCCAAGGCATCCTGGAAAAAAAAAAAAAAAGACCTAAATGTAAGATCTCTGTGAGTGAAATCCCAGTGGAAAGAACGGGGCCATCAAAGAAGGAGGTACCTTTCTCTGAAGGGAGGAGAGAACTTCCACTTTGACTATGACCCTGTCAGAATAAGATCGAAGTCGGCAAATTCAACAGGTTTCCATAGCCTTGGCAACTCATGACTAGAGCCTAGGGAGATTACTGAGGCCATAAACAAGAGTGTCACATTGTTAAGTCAACAACAGGAGTCACTGTGTACTTACTTCTCAGGTGGGATCTGTCCTTAGTGTGTTGTCCAAAGTGAAGTAATGCTATAACTAGTACTGAAACAGTATTTTACACTTTGTGTTTCTGTGTGAGTGCAAACTGATGAAATCTTTACTTAATACATATTAAATCGATCTTCTGTATATAAAGATAATTGAAAATGAATCTTGATGTGAAAGTAATGGGAGAGGGAGCGGGAGATGGGAGGGGTGTGAGTGGGAGGGAAAATAAAAAAAATACACAATTACTCTTAGGTGTTTAATTAATGCTATAACTAGTACTCAAATAGTATTTTCCACTTTGTGTTTCTGTGTGGGTGCAAACTGTTGAAATCTTTACTTAATATATGCTAAATTGATCTTCTGTATATAAAGATAATTGAAAATTAATCTTGATGGGAATGGAAGGGGAGAGGGAGTGGGAGAGGGGAGTGTTGTGGGTGGGAGGGAAGTTATGGGGGGAATCTATTGTAATCCATAAACTGTACTTTGGAAATTCATGTTCATTAAATAAAAAAAAAAAAGAAATTAGGATTTGGAAACAGAGAAACTGGATTGGAGTGTGTGTGGACTCTGCCATAGGCAAGATCTACCATCCTGAGAACTCTCTCTCTCTCTCTCTCTTTCTCTCATACACACACACATACACACAGCACTTTGTGTACTATTGCATCAGGAGGGTTGATGAGGCCTCTGGAGTTTCCTTATAAATCTCAGTTTAAAGAGCTGTCAAGCTTTGTTCTGGGCTTCTATTTAAAGACATCTTTCAGTGATGTTCAGTGTCTGCAGCCTCATTTATCTGTCTGGCAATCAGATATAGTAGAAGGAGCACTGGAAGTCTGGAGAGACTGGTTCCAGTTCAGCTTTCATTACTGAGTCATGAGAACTTGAGGAAATACTGGCTTTGCCCTTTGCAATGTCTTCATACATAAACTAAAGAATGTTGAGGGCATACTGTAGGTCACATATATTCTAGATGCTGGAGAGATAAAAACCTAGATTTTAGATTACATCAAATGAATGTGTCCTGAATGCATTTCAAATTTTGGTCGACATGAATTTAATATGCTCATAAACTTAGTTCCTTTAATCTTTACATGATCACATATGTGGATGTTGTCATTATCTTTGTGTGAGGAAAGTGAAACAGGATATTTTTAATGTGAGCACACAGAGAAGCAATGTTTGCAGTGGTCATGGGCAACATGGACCTGGCATTAAGGTTTCCAGATTTCACTCAAGCTCTGTTGAGACAGTTACAAGATACTCAGTGTGCAAGGGTACTTTCTTTACAAGAAATGTAATTAAAAGTTTATTTTGGTGCAAAATGTTGAAATTCACATAATGTTTTCATATTATACATTTTTCATAAATTTGAGAGAGAGGAAACTCCCCTATTCCAGGTTCACTTCCCACGTCTCAGATGCCACACCAACCAAGGCTGGGCCAAGACCTAAGTCAGGAATGGAAAGCTTTGCTGTGTGACTGGCAGAAACCAAAGTACTGCTGCCATCACTGCTGCCTCCCGGGGTCTGCATTCCTAGGAAGCTGGAGTCAGGTGTCAGAGCTGACTATTGAACCCAGGTAGTCTAATATGCAATGTGGGCTTCCTAACCGCAAAAAACTGCCTGCTCCATGGCGAATGTTTCCAAAATCCCCTTGTATGTTACCTGGACTTCATGTCTGTGTGCTTCAGATCCTCATCTGTAAAATACAGAAAATAGTTAATATATGTGAAGCATTTGAAACAGTACTAAACATACACTAAATACTCAGTGGTTTTTTTTTTTTTTTCCATTAGTTAAACATGGGAAAGTCCACATTCAAATTTAATATTTGGGGCTGCAAAATAGCAGTACAATTAACCTTCAGTTTGGGAAGTGCCAGATACCTTCAAAGGGCTTCATATATAGAAAGCATTTAACCATCATAGGAAGCATCATCATTAGTCCTGTCTCATAGATGAAAGAGATCAAGGTCACACAGCTAGGTTAGCTGGTGGCAGAGCTTGAACTGGAAGTCTCACATTCTGACTCTGGACTTCCTGTGCTTAATCAC